GTACCATGATCTAATAAATCAACAAAGCTTGTCGCCGGGACGGGTTTGTACTTTAATACAGAAGAGTTAGAGAACAAAGGCAGAAAGTTACGCAATGTACACAAATTAATCCTTTTTTCTTTCTTTACGAATGTTTATGCTCTTTTTCGAGGTTCAAATTGAAAAATCGCAAAATATGCAGTTTTCTGTTGTACCATATATCACATACAATGCTGAAATATTTATAGAAATCAGATTCTATTCAAAATTGTTTATACAATTTTGAAATACAGGCGTTCTATGAAATAATAAGTAGCAGTCTCAATGAGAGAGATGATATATTTTAAAAAAATCGTATTCTTTATATATTACGTATGTAATAAATAAATATTCTATGTATTTATCGCGACGGGTCTTTTCACTTTAATTTCTCGTATAACTAGTTTAAGCTAAATTACTAAATTTTTTTTAAGTTAATCTGGCAATTAGAGATTTGATAAAATGCGATTAAATGTATTTTTCTGCAAAAAGACCGATTTCACTTGTGGCTTTTCTCAACTTCTAACATCAATTTAGATATTTATGATTACCCTAGAAGACTGGATTACGAATTTTATCCGTCGGGAAAAACCGGTCTGTGAATTAATAGTTTGGTTAAAATTTTTTTCCTTTACGACTTACTAATAAATATTAATAATTCGATAAATGTTAATAATTCAGTGTCAAGTTTACAAATTCTATTAAAATAAGACTTACTTATGAAAAACTGAGAAACAAGTTCTTTTTGTCGATTTCATTTGCAATCATCTTCTTTAATCAAGTGTCGAAACAAACTTGTTAGTTTGATCTGCTTTATAAATTTCGGTTACGATAGTCTAAGGTTCTTTTATATGTTTTAAGTGATGCGCTATTGTAGCTATTGATATAATTATTCGTCTTAATAAATCTAAGATAGAATGCAGTCATATACAACTCATAAAACTGTGCTCGTACTTTTAAGAAATATTTAACAATTTTGTGTGATCGTAATTCAATCTGTGGACAGTAATCGAGTTCGGCGCACGTGCCGACAGTCGTTCGGTAGTGGAGATGTAAAGCGATAACGAAGGTGCGAGCGGAAGGATCCCGCAGCGTGTGAACGGCTGCTGCATGTAGGTGAGCAAGTTGCTTAGCCAGTCCACGGTAAACTGTTATATGCACTGGCATGCCGCCAGTCGCTCGTTGAAAAGCCATTTCTGGTGGCAATGCCAACGACGAAGGCGCTATGCTAGAAAACACTTACAATTCCACGCACCGAACTTGTTTCGAAGGCCCCGATAGCGATCGAACGCATTCGAGAGGTTCATGGTACATGTTTCCAAGTCTGGGAAGCAGTAATAGAGGTACCAAAAACGCGAAGTCTATTTTCGATTCAGTTCACAGCAACACAGTAAAAGAGTTGCACTTAATTTATTCACTTTAATCTCCACTTTACGGGAAAAATGAGTAATTTATCCACTAATTCGAATCTGTTTATATACTTATATCTTTTCTCGCAATATTGCATACTTTCCAAATGACAACATTCTCATTTATTCTCATTTAAATAATATCAGCACGCGAGCACGCGCAATCTTTACGAGTGTAAGAAACACGGTTGAATCACTTCCGAAAATACACTTTTTTTTATAGTCGTAAAAATTTCGAAAGTTTGCGTTAGTAGGGTATTGGGGTTTCCATTTGGAAATAACGTAGCTGTTAATGATGTCAAGAAAAATTGCGATTTACAGGTAAAAGTTGTGCACGCAGCGGCAGCATAATTAAAAAATTCTGATACATCGGGCGAGTGTTTCGCAGGAAACGCGTCCGGATTTCCAGGTTGGGAATAATCGTTCGTCAATCGTCATCGTTCACGTTCCGCGATAATCGAGATCGGCCGATTTGGGATGTATGGACCGTCGTCGAATCAATCAGCGCCGTTCTATAATTTAGCTTAATGTGTGTTGCGCTTAATTGCGGAACGGAGCGAACCGATAACAAAATAACGAATTATGCCGGCAGCTCGAGAGAGGAAACTAACGTGATTTTGGTCACGACTTTGTTCCCGGTGAACTCACCGTGGAACGCTCGAATATATTTCCTCGATCGAACTCCGATATATAATATGTCGAAGGGTCGCGGGAATTTCGCATAAGCTCTAAATCGTCTTGATTGTAAGAAACGATAGCGTTTCCTTCTCGTTCCTTAAAATTTTATTGACCTCCGATAATCGATACCAAAAAATGCTGAACAAAAATTAATTTTTTTTCATATTAAAATGGTAGAGATTTGAATTAAAGATATATTTGTTTCCTGTAAAAAAATTTTTTTCAATTTAAAGATAAATTGCTTGTGAAAGATTGGTATTCCTCAGTAATTTAAAATGTTATATTATATATATAATTTTTGTTAGTATTATAAGATATTAATATGGTTAATTCTTCTCATTTTGTGCATATTACAGATAATTATCATTTCAAAATCTAAGAGCAGTTTTTATTTAAAGGATTTCTACTCCTGATAACATCTTGATCTATGATTTCAAATATTTTCAACAACATTTGAATATTTCTTCATTTCCACGGTCTCAACGACGACGAATAAAACAATAATTTTTATTCTTGATTCAACATAATTGGTAAAACCAATAATTTTTTTCATACTATTAAGAGAGCGTCGCGCTCACAACAAACGGTTTATGCTCAAAAATATGTAATATTATTCTCAACGCTGTTAACACAATAGTCGCCATTTCACCCTACATTAAACGCATTGGAATTCATGTCTTACTAAAAGATGCGCGCAAGAACTCGTTACTTTCTCTCTGCCATTCTCCGTCATCATCAATCTCTATCAGTTAATTGCAATTGTCACGCAAGGCTGCAATATCGATGCTTTATCTAGTTTTGTATTATATAGGACATGTTGAATTCTTCACGATTGATCGCGTAAGAAACCGAAAGTAGAACTTCGTGTAGGATTCATAAAATAAAATGTCTATCGAAAGAAAGGAATGATATGCCGATTAATCGCAGTTGGAACATGAAGAGAGCCATCAGCGCGACTGTAGGTTTCAAAAATAATTGCCACTCACGTATAGCGATTAGTCACGCTTACTGTAATCACAGTAATTATTTTCATAGGTGGTGATCGTGGGCCGTCTGTTACATTTTACAGTTACGACGCAGCTAAATTAGTCTACACAAAGGATAAAGCATTGCTTGAAAATTAATCACCGACCCAAATCTCCGCGGAAGCACCATTTTCAACAAGAATCTATGTCGAGTGCTGTTTAACTTGGAAATCATGTCGTCATAATTCACCGACCTAAGTCGCGAAGGAGAAGTAGCTTGACGAAGCTGATGGACGTAACGGTGTAACATTACGTGTCACACGTACCATTCGGTCACTTTAATGGATTTACTAGCAGAGTTCTTTTAAGATAAAATAATATATGGAGATTTTAAGAGGCTGAAGAGAGTCATAAACTGTTATCACATTTTACAAAATCGTGTAGCCTCAGAGCGAGAGAAAGAGAGAAAGAGAGAGATTTATCACAGTTAATCAAATTAACATAGCCATTTCATAAATATTAATTCTAACTGTTTAAGATTTGTCAAATTTTCGTCATTTCCAAAAGACAAGTATTTTATACTAAAACAAAGAAGTACAAACATATATATGGCGACAAACGTGTAAGTAATTGCACATCAAATTTTTGTGAACGAATTTAAATGATTTAGTTTGTCAGTTCTGAAAATGTCATGTACATAAATCGAGCGTCATAAATTCTCGTTAGTACCGCTATTGCGGAGGACGCTTTAAGAATCGAGGTACGCGATATATTTCAGGATTCCTACGTAAAAATAACATTAATACCAAAAAGATGATAATTAAATCGTAACTATTATCTACATAAAAAAATATTATAATATATTAATTTTTATATCGATCGAATTATAACTATTTCGGAGGTGGAGAAACATATATTAAGAATGTTTTTGTCGAATCACTTTATGGATAAAGATTGACTTGTTGCAAGATCTTTTCCGGTCGCGCCACTTTTTTCGAGAATACTAGCTAAAAATATTAAAACACAATCTACATATTTTTTTTAGTGCAAAAGCAAATCGACGGTGCATCGGGAGCCGAACATATATTAAGATTGCTTGCAGTTTTTATCTATGTGCAACATAATGCAACTAATCACATGCACACTGTAATACGCCGGATTACGTTAGCTTCATTGTATTCTTCATTATATTCTGTCTCGGGGCGTTTAACTCGTCACCGGAATCAATGTTCGATAGACACAGCACCGTGATTCACTTGCGCGTTTGTCGTCATCTTCCTACGCATTTTGCACAATCTAACACTTCACTTTATTTATCGATATGCAACCGAGAGCTACTTGAATATCTGTATAATCACGACGCGGCGTAAGCAGGATGTTAATTATTAAGAAGGCGAGAAAGAAGAAGAGAAAGAAAGCGCAGCGAAAGTGAAAAAGTGAATAAGAATAAGAGCCAAAAAGAAAAGAAAATCAAGCGATAGGATTAAATGGAAAAAGAGGATAGGAGAAATTATAAGCTAGGAGGAAAAGAAGAAAGAGGAATAAAATGTAAACGAAAAACTCTAGTCTCCAAAAAACAAAAGAACAAGTTGGATATAAAAAGGATACGAAAATATGGAACAGTCATTTAAGAGGACGAAGGGAGAAAACGAGAAGTGAGAAAAAAGTAATTTAAAAAATAAGAGAAGACCGCATAAAATATAATAAGGAGCACATGTAGTATCTTAGAAAAAGTAGGAGTCAAGATACGTGATTGATTCGACAGTATGTCGCACGAAGGGGAGAAGAAGTAGATGGCAAGACGAGCGGCGCGCGAACGTGATGAAGGTGGAAGGGGTCGACTAGGGCGAAAGCGGAGAACATGGGCAAGTAGCGAAAGCACAAGGCAGGAAGAGAAGGAGAGAGAACCAAAGCGAAGAAGATGACTTACCGCTCCTGGTGTTGGACGCCTGGTTGTTTTTGTCGCGTACGGCGAACGTGCCGGTCATATGGGCGAACACTGTCGCGAGCACGACGAGTGCCCGGTAGCCACCGTAGGACCTCATGACCGCCCTTTTACCGCGGGTACCGAACTAGAGAATAGGGAGAACGAGTGGACGAGATCGTGGGCGACTCTCTCAGGATTCTCTACCGCCTCGAGCGGACCTGCTGAGCGCACTGCTGGCTCAGCGTCGACTGAGACGTACTTTGTGCTCGCCGCTCTATCAGCAGGACCGTCACTCCTCTCGGTACGTTTCACACCGCGGCCCGTATGTATCCCTCGGGTAGGAAACTACCACCACAACGAACGGACAGTAAGTGCCGGGCAGGTTGTGCTACTACCCGCCGCACAATGGGCCCCCACAGTCTTATCACCCGAATTTTAATCCCACCGGTGCCACCGCGGTATCGGTCACCGCCAACTTTTCCTCTCGTATCCACGCACGGATCCTGCACACCTATTTAAAACCTATCGCTCCACCTCGCGCTCCTTACCATTGGCTCCTGCCCCAATTCTTTGCCCAATGGTACTCTCTCGCGCGCGTTCACCTCCTTTTCAGATCGGCAACGGCGGCGGTGGCAGCAGTCTCGGGTAGAGAGAGAGACAGACAGACAGACAGACAGACAGAGAGAGAGAGAGAGAGAGAGAGAGAGAGAGAGAGAGGGGGGGGGGGAGGGAGAGAGACAGGGGGAAAAGTGGCGGATGGAGATCGGGTGGTGAAGTAGGCAAGGTAGTAGGTGGCAAAGTCCCCCGATTTTGCCAAGGCGGCGAGTACTATTGTCAGGTAAGTCGCGACGGTAACGAACTTCTCGAGTTCGCGAAACGGTGACGTTGAAATTTTCCCCTCTTTCGCGTGCTCGCGCGCGCCGATCGCGGTCGACGAAGGTGAAGGGGGTTTTAGGTGGGGTTCTCGCGTGCGAGCAAGAGCCGAGATCGGGCTGCCGCCGCCGTCGCAGCCGCTGACTCCGCTCGGTTCTCTCCCGGTTCTCTTTCCGCGTCTCTTCGTATAACTGGTCTAGGATACCGCAAAATCGCCCGGTCGTTTGTCTGCCTTTCGTTACGACCGAGCAAAATTATGGGTGTTGTGCGCCTACTCTTAGGAAACGCGACTTCCGCAACGTGACTTTGTTCACGTGGGGAAAACCGATGAGGAACTCTGATGCATAGGCAAGGTCGAGGTGAAAATTGGCGAACGCCAATTCAAAATGCTATCCGGGTGGCATGCAGTGTCACTATTACTGCTCTATCCGCACCGACCAAACAATAGAACGAACATATGTGAAAAACAGATGAGCATATACATACTGCCAAGTCATAGAGCACGATATCTTCAAAGCAAATATGAGTATTTTCTGTGTTTAAACGATTTATGTATGTATTACCATTCTTCTAACAATAAGAAGAAAAAGGGGAAAAAGAGACAAAAATAATGTTATGACAATTACTTTTGCCAAGCTATTTATAATATTTTATTTTTATCATTTAAGGAGAAATCGAATTAGAAAGTTTTCTTTAATTTATCAGTTTATATTCTTGGACATAGTCCAGAGAAGTAGAATTGATTTGACTTGTGAAATTATATTTTTAGTTTTCATTTATACACGTCTGAAAAGTTCATGAAAATGTTTGGTAGTCGGCAAATTTGTAAAAGGCAGAACAACGTTATAGATATTGAAATGCGATAAAGTAAACACGCTGATAAGAATCGTTGGTAAACGTCGCAATGGAATTCACCCAAGGATCTTTTGGCCGTCGTACCGTTCGGTGAACGCGCGTGCATTGCGATATAGCGTAGCCATCGGCACGTGCTGTGCAATATCGGGACTGCGCACTTTCCTGCTCCTACCTTTCGATTTCGTCCGCGCACTCAAGACTATTTCGATTATAATCGTCCCGGCACACCCAGACTTCAGGTACCTTGACGTACCTTGGCAATGAGCAACGATTCACTGGCTCTTAGATTGTCTTACCTTGGCACTTCTCTTTCTATAGCCAGTACGATGCCGGTATTTCGCGCTTGCGAAAATCGCGGCCGACTTTCGATCGACATTGTCGGTCGACAACTACCTAATCTCGCGGCGACGTCTTTGCGACTGGATACGCAAAAAGGTTGTCGGTCCTTCAGTCTACTTGGTCAATTTGAGTATCGCAACGACGACCTTTTAAAGTAATTGTCGCGATAGAACTATCAAAAAGATTAATAGTCGTATAATCGGAAGAAAAAGTCGAATATTTCTTCGTGCGAATTTTTGATTGAGACTGTCTCTACGCGTACAAATAGAAGAGTGACTCGTCCCGATAAACGAATACTAATATATGATAACATAATAATACATATTTAAGAGAACAGTTTATCTTGGAGGATTAGAATAACCAATTTCTTTTAAAGTTCAAAGCCTTAAAGATAAATTTTGAGACATGTAAAGTAAAATTAAGTTATTAAAATTGTTAAACTATTAAAGAGATTAGCTTAACTATTGTATAATGTTATTTCTCATACGCTTCTTTTTCGTATAGTTTGCGAATATTTCCACGGCACAACTGCATTTTTATCTATTGCAAATGGCCTTCGAGCACCAGTGATAACAATGCAATTATTTAACAATTATAAAACTGCACGGAAAGACCGGCTAAGGCAAAAATAACTAAATTTAAAATGCCGTAAAAATAGTAGGGGCATCTATATTGTTTTGTATTGCAACGTTTATGAAGTTTGCACAAAATGCATATAGTTGTCTACACTACTTATCCATTGTTGAGTTGTGTGTGGTTGTGACAACCTTATAGTTCTTGCTGAAGTGCGAGTTGTTGCCACACCACCGCACCAGTTCTGGTAACATTGTCATGCGCTGTACGCTAACCAACCTGCACCGACTTGTATGGCGCGACTCGGCACGCTAATGTTATCAATACGCATTTGAAGGCTAATACTATCAATACGCAGTTTTTTGAGCCTGATTAACCATACCACACAAAGTTGCACCATAGTTCATTTCTTCAAGAAAGCAACTACAATTTATAGTTTATACCATGACTACATCAATGTGGGTATGACAACTACGGATATGGCTGTTCGAAATATTGCTATTTATTGTGCCAACCCTAATTAGACATGTGGTAACCATATCGGTCTCTCCGTGTGGAAGATAAAATTGGAAGATACGTGAAGGTTACGATAAAGGTTCATTTCAACATATGCGTGACGTGTTCGTTCAATTCCGTGAATTTCCGTTAGTAAGAGTGATAACAAATATTGATCTCTTGTTTTTTAATGGATGTGTTCATACACGTCTGGCACAGTCTCGTATTCAGGCCGTTCATCTTATTTGCTTCCTCTTTATCTAAAGTTATAAGAATTGTTGCCAATTCGTCATCCGTAAACTTGAGCCATCTTGAAATCACTGACGATCCAAACTGTACGGATAGATGTGATTAACCGTCACTGATTATCACGAATATCACTGACACGGCACTGCTAAGGTATTGATACGTCGCGAATATGTGTAAACGGACTTTTATCATTATATTTATTATCAATTGCAATATGATAAGACACGTGCATAATTCGAACAATTTTTCATGATAGAATGGCATGGTAAAAATTATGATAAAGATAATGATGAAATTATTATTCAGAATGTTTATTGCCACCAGTAATGAATAAAAATAAGTCGCAAATTTATAGTCGATCAAACTGGTAAGAGATTAGTTTATTAAAAAAAGGGGCTACATGTTATTCTCAATAGGGATCTTGTTTATAATAAATTAATCTCTTGCCAGTTTGGTCGACTATAAGTTTGCAACTTATTATTATTCAGAGTTAAAGCTTTCTATAGAAATTATTTTACAATCGCTTTTGTATTTCAATTTCTCTAAAAGTCAATCAGTGGATCGTCAATGAAAACAGTGAATAGTCACTGATTGGCAGTTACAAGTATACCACTGAAAATCGCAGTGGTATACTTACAACTGTAAACCAGTGACTATTCACTGTTTCCAGTCAAGATCCACTGATTGACTTTTAGAGAGATAGGATTGTTTATTTTGCACTTCTATCTTTTATTTAAATTTTAGTCATTTTAATTTTACTGAAATAATGTTGCATGAATATTTTCTGAGTACTTTCAAACAGGCTATTTCTTTTTCAAAACTTTAAAATTCCTTGAATAATTTATACCGTCGCGCTATTGGCAATAATACAACGTTGTTTAATTGATTGATCAACCATTAACGATTACGCGAGATTACAGGAATCACATCCGTTCATGCGAGCCTAACTACAATAGTAACGCGGTATCGTGGTGTACGCCTTCGTAATCGATTAATGTTTTTAATCAGCTGGCCGCCAGGCCAAATACGACTGCACTGTACTTCAGTAGCAATCTCAATTGTTCATCGTCCTTCAGATCTTATTAAGCATCGACGATGAGTCGCTCGCGCAACGCGGAAGCTCGCCACGCTTGTCCGTGGGCCCGAGCGTGTCGAAAGGATTCGTCATGGCGGGACAGGTGTGACGATGTTGTATATTCATTGGCGTGATCTCGAGTAGCAACCCGTCACACATACTGGAACACTTTCCCCCGGATGGCCCGTCTACCGCGACGTCGTCGTTGACGGGAAATAGGAAAAGACGGGCGCGCGACCACGCGAGAAAGCCGGCGGTTCGGCTGAAGATTCGCTATTGATAACGTCACGATCGTGCCGCTTATATAATCGGCGGTACATGGAAAAGAATGATGTTGTACATTGTTTAACATGGCAGTCTATCCGAAATTAATCTTGTTAATTCAATAACAATAATCACGAAACGAATACATCAAGCTCTTGTTTTAATCAAATATTACTTGTTCTATTGATCCTATCATTGAATTAACAAGATTACTTTTAATTAGTTGCTGTCAGATCCTGATATTAATACATCATTTTTTTCCGTATAAAGTTTCACGTCTCTTCATCGTTAGCAAGACAACGCGTGAGAGGCTAAAGCTGTCTCTCCGTCACGGCAATTATTGTGAAAAAAAAGGGATACTTTCCGCAGACACATTTGAGTCGAGAATGTAGAAAAAATGTCCGATAGATACAGAGAAGACCTGAACGAGCTAAGAAGCCTATTTTATTGAAAGAATCTCTTTAGCTCTTTTAAGGTAAGGCAAATTTTGGCAAGCGTTACTGGAAACGGGAAGTAACAACGAGAAAAGTACGCTGCTCAGTGACAGGCTGGTGCCTCTACCGAGACGAAAGCGAACGATTCGATCGCTCATCTTTCGCCGAGCGCACCAGTGAAATGTGTTTTGCACCGGCACGCGTCGCATTCAAATGCACTGGCACTGGTCTCTTTCTCCTTGCGAGGATTCACGAGATCGTGCGGTTTCCGCCTGTCCGTTACCATCGCCACCTTGTTGCTCCGCTTCACCGGTATCCGTGATTCTCGATAGAAATTGAAAGGGAATCCATTAACGTGCCGAGTGGA